AGGTTGAGGAGCCTGGCCACCTCGTACCTGCGGTCCCTGGTGAGATACATATTGAACAGAAACTCCTTCTCCAGTTCCAGCGTCTGGTGCTTGGTGTAAGGGCAGCGCTTTTTCCGGGTGGACCTCGCGTGGAGCCAGTTAGCAGCGGGGTTATCTGCGAGGGGAGCGAGAGAAATTGAGGCTCAGGGGGGTATCTGGTGGGTGTGTGGAGGGGTCCTGGTGTCGGGGTGCCCCTCGTCTCCGCGGTGGGCACGGAGCACCCACATCCCCACGCACGGGAGGGGTCACGGAGACCCCTGAGCGGCAGAGCCACGCCGCCCCCGCCTCCCTTCGCTTTTTTTTTTTTTTTATTGTTTGTAGGATGCGGTTTGAAAACACCCGTCCGCCTGCTCTCTGCTGGCTGCCTCCTTCCTTCCTGCCCTCTCCGCAGCCCCTCCGAGTGCCAGCCCGGCCGGAGCGGCAGCTCGTCTGAGTCTGTTCTGTTACAATTCGCCCTTCTCCCGTGTCATCGCTGGCAGGACCCGGGGAGCTGACGAGCCAGTCAGCCTGTATGCGGCCGCCGACATTACAGTCCCGGCAGTTCAGGGCCCTTATTTGCATGGCTTATTAGCAGGAGCAGCACCGTTCCGCGGCCCCGCAGCGCCCAGCGCGGGCATTTCCGCCGGGGGGCGGAGGGGGAGGAGGACACCGCGCAACGGCGAGGTTCCGGATGCCGGCCCTGAGCTGCCTGCTCCCCCCCCCTCCAGCCCCGCAGCTCACATTCACATCCAATGCTTCTCGGGCACCCGCTCCGTGAGTGCTGCGGGAGGATGCGAGCGTGTTCTGCGAAGTTGGCTGGGGTGGACGAGGGGGGGGTGGGGGGGGCGGGGAGGGCGGGAGAGGTGGGATTTTTTTTTTTCCAGTTATTTTATTTTATTTTAAGTCGCAGCCGCACTGAGGGTTTTTGTTCTCCCCTCGGCCCGCAGAGCCGCAGCCGTCCCGGATCCCGGCAGAGCCCGCGAGGGGCAGCGCGAATCTCAGCCCCCGGTGCCCGGGCAGCACGGAGCCCCGCACCGCGCCTCCTCCCCGACCCCAAACGCGCCGCCCCGCAGCCCCACTTACTTGGATCAATGTGTGGTTTCTCTCCGTTTGCCTCACTTTCTCCATTGTTTTCAGAGAATGCGCCTTCGTGGCTTTGCTTATCCCTATCAACTGGAGGAGAACCACAAGCATAATCAGACAGAGACAAAGTGTGAGTGTCAAACGTGGTACAGTCACCCCTTCTGGCCGCCAGCGGTTCAGGTTTAATGCCGTAATGCCTGCTGGTAGGTAACCCGGGGAAGGACAAGGAGCCCGGCACAGGCTCGAGCCACGAACGCATGTACCTGCCGTCGGGCGGTGCCACGGGCGCCTGGTGGTGCGCGTAGGGGTGGTACACGGCGGGGACGCCGCTGGCGCCGGCGGGGTGCGCGGGGCTCCAGGGGGGGCCGAAGACGGGCGCCTTGGGCTGGAAGCTGCAGGGGGTCAGCTCGGGGTGCTCGGCCAGCGCCGGGCGCGGCGGCGGCCCCAGCGGCGCGGGGGCGTAGCGGGGGGCCGCCAGCTCGTCCCCCTCCGGCACCAGGAAGGAATCCACGTAGTAGTTGCTGAGGGTCCCGGGGGCCGACATGGCGCGGCGCGGCGCGGGCGCCCGACCCGCCGCAATTCGGGGCTGCGGCTTTCACGTAACAACTTGGTGCTGGCGGAGAAGTAGAGTCAGTAATAAGTTGGGGGCAGCCCGGGCGCCCATTGGCTGCCCCGGTCACGTGGCGGGGGAGCAGAACAATAAAGTATAAATCAGTCCGCGGGCTATTAATGGGTCAGTGTTTTCCAGCCATCATTTTTATAGCGAGGCCATATGTTTTTATGCAAAGGGATATTTGAGTTATACGGCGGAGTTTGTTTTAATTGCGGCCAACTGAGATTAAAAGATCGGATTCCGCATTACGGCCCCCCCTTCCCTTTCTTTCTCTGCTCTCCCTCTCTCCGTCCCACTCTCTCCTTTTTATTTTTTTATCTTTTTCGTTTAAGCGGACTATTTTATACCGTAATTAATCATCCCATCAGTGAGTCGCGTTCCCTACGAAAAAAAAAAAAAAAAGGCACAAAAAAAAAAAAAAAAAAAAAAAAGAAAAGAAAAACAACCCAAACCCTTCTGGTCGGAGACCTTCACATAAAATTATACAACAATCGAAGCAATAAAAAGAAGCAAAATAGCAGTTGCGGCGTACTGTATTTAAATACATATTTATTATATTTCATAAGGAGTTATTGTTTCGGGAGCCACGGGGTTGTTATGAAGTCAGTAACTATGAGCGCGCTCATTTGCATCGCTGTGTTTCACAGCAGTAAAAATTTACGAGTGCTCGGAAAGGTTAAATTATACCATTGTGTTTCGTTTGGGAGCTCCCTGTAAATAATCCCGTTCCGTTCCGCGCTAAGCGGGACCGGCAACGAAAAGTCGAACCCGACGCATCCCACGGCCGGAGCCGCTCCGAAGGGCCTTCATAGGACCGGGGCAGGACCAGGGCACAGGGATTCGGTCCCCTCGGGCCGGGCTGAGCGCGGCAGTGACCGAAGCTCCCTCGTCGCCCGGCCCTGCCCTTGGACCCCCCCCGGCAGAGGGGCCGCCGGGAGCCGGGCAGCGGCGGGCAGCGGCGTCGCTGGCTCCGATTTATTCTTAACTATGCAGCCAAGCGGCGGGGGGGGGGGAAGGGGCGAAAAAGCGCCGTGTGCCCGCTGCAGTGAGGCACCGCGCTCGGAGGGGAGGATGTAAGAGGGGCTCTCGCTTTCGATCGCCCCGCGCCCCGCGGAACAGAGCGGAGTTATTGATTTGGCAGCAGGACGCGCGCTGGAAACCGAGCGGAGGGTTACGGTCCTCCGAGGAAGGAGGGGAGGGAGAGGGGGGAAAGCGAGGCGCGGCCAGATCCAAGGCCAGTGTTAGGGATTAAACGGGGATGTGCTGCGCGCCCGCGCCGGTCCCCGTCCCCCCGGCGGACGCGCGGTGCTGCGGTGTGCGGGGGGAGCCCCGAAATCTCCGCAGGAGCCTCGGGGTGCTCGGGGTGTGCTGTGCTGAAAGCAGAGCCCCCTGAACGGAAGGGAAGGCCGAGTAAGAATTAAAATCATGTGTAAATATCGTGCGTGCAAAAGTGTGGTTCTAATTAGTTTTACATGGCTGTGTGGGCCGCTTCTCTCCCTCTCTCTCCCCTCTCTGTTTCTCGCTTTTTCTTTTCATGTCCTCCCAACAGTTTAGTCAGAAATCGCGCGGAGATCCCATTTTAACGACACTCTCTCCCCATTCAGGATTACAAAGGCCCATAATGAAACTATTATCCCCTATTAGAAAATTATAAAACGCTTACGGGATCCCCGCAAACGGGGAGCCCCTTAGTTTCGAACAATTCAAAAAATGTACATAAAGGTCTCCTCCGCTATTTTTTGTGGCCGTTGTATAGACGCGCCGTAATAGCGAAAAATAATTGTATTTCTTTCCTGGAAAGACGGAACTCGACGTCATTTATATTTATTATTAAGAGTCAGCTGTGGTGAAATGTGATTGTAGAACTTCCTTTTTCCATTCAGAAAAAATAATCTTAGCTGCAGGAGTCCTGGATGTTTATATTCGAATTTGGGTTCTCAACTTGCGGCGGGTTTCAATTTTTTTGGTTCCTCACCAAAAATAATAGCAAATGAATAACAATAACAATAACGTTTAAAAGAACGCGCCTGCATTTTTATTTCCCTGTAAAATTCGGAACGCGTTCGCTGCCAACACCCGAGCGGCAGGAGAGGTTGTGCAGAAAGCGCGAGTTAAAATATGGCAAATAATTACAGGCGTTTTTCACGCGGTCGCAGCGCTGCTGATAGCGCTCGAGCGTTCTCCCTCCTTTTCGACCTTTTAGGCTCAGTTTTCCCCAAAGTACGCTTTTCATTCGAGCCACGAGAGCTCGTGGGAGGCTGCACCGGTTTCGTACCTTCCGCCCTGCCGGTTACTGCGGGATTTGGGGCAGCAGATCCCGGGAAGGACCGACCGGCCATCCCACCGCGGTACGAAATCGGAATTTCCAGGCACGAAGCACCGCTCCCGTGGCCGAATAAAATCCCTCCCGGCCTCCATCCCGGCACAGTGAAACCCGCGGCGCTCCCAACCCGGTTGCTGCGGCAGGAAGCACGCCTCTGCGAGGGGCAGAGCTCCGCGGCCGCGGGCTTTGCGCGGATTTTGCGCTGGAACCCCGCCTCGTCTTTTCCTGCCGCTGCGAACGATTCGGACGGAACCCACCGGCGCGGAGCGGTGCTTTGGCACAGCGGGCAGAAAGAATGACTCAGAGTTTGGGGGAAGCGGTCCAAAAGCGGAGCGATGTGAATCCAAAGGGATATAAAGCACAGAGGCAAAGCTGTGCGTGAAGGCTACAGAGGCACTCACACACTGTAAATACACCGTCGGTATGTACACAGAACAGGGCAGCCCGACAGCAGCACGGTGCTCACAGGCAGACACGAGCACTGCTGTCGGACTGCGGTGTACACATCTGCTCCTGGCCCGGCCTTGGCGTCTCCCGCGAAGATCCAGCTAGGGTAGGTCTGCCTCAAATCCGCTATCTAACTGCTCTCCGTTTCTGCAGCCCCGTCTGGAGCTTCAGAAAAAAAAAGTTCTTCTTTTTCTTTTTTTAAGCAGAAATAATCGATCGGTCATTTAGGGGAAGAAAAAAAAAAAAAAAAAAAAAAAAAAAGAAGAAGAAGGGGGGGGGAAAAAAAAAGGAAAAAAAAAAATAGAAAGCTAAACCCAACCCCACAGGAGTGCCTTTCCCTGCCCGATCCCGTGTCCGCCTTTCCGCCGCGGGGCAGCCGGTTCGGAGCGCGCTGCCCTACCCGTGCTGCGGGCGCAGAGCCCGGCGGGAGGCCGCCCCCGCCGCGGGCGCCACGGACACAAAAGGCGGCGGGCGCGGCGCGGAGGAGCGGCGGCGGCGGGCCCGGAGAGGTCGCTGTTGCCCGTTCCGCCGCCGCGGAGAGCGGCCCCGGGCGCGCCGCAATCGTGATCGTAACCGAGGCCTTGTGGGCCGCGTGGCGCTGAGCCCGACGGCGGGGGCTCGGGATTCCGAGGTCACCCCCCGGGAACCGCGTGGACGAGAGCGGGCGCGGCGGGGCGGGCGGACCTCGGGCCCCGTGTGTCGGTACGCCCCTGGAGAGGGGCTGCCCGGCTCGGTCTCTCCCCTCCCCCGGGCAGCCGAGAGCTTTTCACCCTCCGGTTTTGAATAAATCCAGTCGGAAAAAAATATAAGCGCAACCCACCCTCGCTCCCCCCTCCAATCCCTCCGCCCGAGCTCTACCCACGCCGAGCGGAATGCAAAAACGCACCTGACCTTGAATGCAGCCTACGAGAGATATGAAAATCCCGCAAGCAGGCAGGGACTCGCTTAGAAGCTAGCTAACCTTGAAGAACTTGTCAAGCTTCCCCCCTCGGCTGCCGTGTTTATCTGAGAAATCAGAGGAGTCTCCGTTGCAGATGGGGAACAATGGCATTGGGACTTGACGCCTACAGATAACTTCGGCGCTAAGATTTCTTCGGGCACAAAGGACCCTCGCACCAAGCATACCTGGTGATGATATCAGCTGAAGTAATTAAGGCAGTTTCGTGCTGTAGAGAGAAAGGTGGAGCCCCAACAACATGAAACTACCTAAACCACAGAGCAGTTCTCAGGCGCTAATAATTACTTTCCCCATAGCCGTGGTCTTTAACGCAAGGATCCCGCTACGGAAATAAAACCAGAAACGTGACCCCGCGGTCCCTCTCGCCCCCCGCGCACCCCGCCGGGCCCCCCGCGCCCCCCGGCCGGGTTCAGGGAAACGGAGAAATAGCATCAGAACCCCCCCCCCGAGGGCGGCTTTCGCCTCTCCATGCAGATGGGAAGGCCGTCCGCTGCGATGTTACATCATAAAAAGCTAACGGCTCCCTCTAAGCCCGGGTTCAAAGTCTCTCCCCCTCCTCCCAGCACACACATACCCGGGAAGAAAGCTGGAGCTGTCGCTCCTCTGCCAGCCCTCGCTGTGCCTTCCCTTTGTGCGAGCCCCCGCTAGCTGAGCATGCAGCGAAGGAGGGAGGATGCAAAGGCGGCCCGGGGGGAATAAGCGCTCCCGCATGCAGCCAGGTAGGGAACGGCCCTGTCCGAGGGGGCCCGGTGGCACGGAGGCGGCTCTCACCTCCCCCCTCCCCATGCGCTCACCTTCACGGTTTCTTCCGAGCCGTGAGATAAAGCTACGGTTTGTCACCGTCCTCGGCAGCTAAAGATCTCCTCACGCTCGTAGGTGTGTGATTAAAAGGGGGTGGGGGGGTGGGTGAGAAAATAAAAATCTCTTCCCTACCCTCAAGAAATTGTAATTTGCTTCCTCAGTCTGTGCAGCTCCTCAGTCAACTGAAACCACTCGTTCAAGACAGCAACAATCCAGATATACTAGCAAGTCATAAAACTGAACAAAAGCCGACAAACCTTAGAGCACCATCGCTATATGGCCCAGACAAATTACGACCGTCTAGGTAATATTTAAATAGATTCCTAAAGTAATTGCAGGGGGTTTAGGCAACTATTCCTGTTGTAAAAGTTCTCGAAGACATAAAGTAGAACCTGAGGATAAACAGTCACAAAAAGAGGTAAAATTAAAAGGATTCATTCCACGTTTTTTATTCTTCTATGAGAACATAAACATCGTCTTTTTCACGCACAGCAGCATTACAATATTAATTTATTCCGATTTAAGGTAAGAACTAGATATAGCTAGAACTAACATTTATAATAACGATAGAATGCATTTGCTTAAAACGGTATCGGCGTTTTAATAATAATAGACATTTATACATATCTGTACTTATAGTTTTTCCCCTTCTTTCTTTCTCCTTTTTAAAATCTTTTTCTAATCTTTTTCACCTATAAGCTTGACCCTTTGATGCACGCAACTTCACAGTATAAAGGAAGACGGACGAACTCTCCCTCGCTATCTCAGGCTCTGGCTCAGAAAGTCCTTTTGATGTTCAGGATGTACACTTTGCAGTGAAATTAGTGAGGAAAAAGTGACGGCTTTTTTTTTTTTTTTTTTTTTTTTTTTTTCTCTCAAGGGGGAATCGTTGTGTGCTTATCCCGTGTTACCAACGGTAACGCTGTTTATCAACCAAAAAAAAAAAAAAAAAAAAAATCACTAATTCCACATCTTTAAGCAAAACTACGTTACGTAAATATCTACAACCAGAAAGAGAGAGAGAAATTCAGAGGTAAGTGTCATGATTTAGTCCATGAGCGAGACGAACTTTTAAAAATATTTTTAAAGAGAAGAGATTTCATTTTCCTGGCCAATTTCAAAGCCGTAATATTGACTTCCAAGGTAAAGAACAAAAAATCGCTCTTAACACCGGTTCCCATGAAGTCCTTTTAAAGGATGCCTGCATTTCATTATTGCAAGTCCTGCTTTGGAAAGGATAAAGGGGGAGGGGAAGACAGGGGAAACAGAGGGAGAAAAAGCTGAGCTCCCAATATATAGAAATATGGCACGGCTTAAATAATTCATTCCGAAGCTACTTACAGTCCGAGTTACACCGCCTATATTTTAAAAGAATGCGCCTTTAACCGAGCTCGTTTACTTTTCGAAGAGACACGGGGGTGGGAAAAGGGGGAGTGAGGGGGGGGGAAGAATATTTGCAGCTCCTGAAATCCTATTTCTGGGCTTTCAAAGCTTGAAAGAGCAAAGCGGGCCCGGGAAGGCTGCAGGAACCGAGGAGGCTCACACATGGCCCTCAGCATTAGCATGGCTTTCTTCCGCTCCCCCCGCAGCCCCGAAGCAGCTATTAAGAGTTTAAGGACATACTGAGAACGTCTAAAATCGTTAATCCATACAGGTGCGGATGACTACAGCCTAGGAAAATGATACTGGCTCTTTAAACCATAAAGATGTGTTTATAGGTTCATCAAGAGAAATTAAAGTTGGCTGTGAGCTCCCGAATCCTATTCTCTCTGTTCATTTTCTTCAGTTTCATTCTGCGGTTCTGAAACCAGATTTTAACTTGTCTGTCTGTGAGATGGACTGTGCGGCTGATCTCTAGGCGACGCTCACGAGTCAGGTACATATTGAACAGAAACTCCTTTTCCAGCTCGAGAGTTTGATGCTTGGTATAGGGGCACCGTTTCTTTCGGCCACTTTTTGCGGTTAGCCAGTTTGCTGCATTTTCTCCTTTTGAATTGCCTAGTTTTGAGAAAGTAAAAGAGGGACATTACCAGCGGGTAGGAGGCAAACAGTTGGGGGAGAGGGTGGAAAGCGTGAGTGGGTGTGTGCACATACAGGGGCTCGCTGCTCCAGAGCTGGGATGTGGGGGCCTTCCGAGAGCTCCCGAGCGCTCTCCTAAAGGCCCTGGGGCTGCCCACGGGGCAGCCTTTCCTCTGCTGGGATGCTCGGAGGGGAGTCCAGCTCCGACCCCCCGAAATGGGCTTCTCCCCGTTCCGATCCCGCCGTTCCTGGGGGGCGGCTCGGTGCGGGGCCTGGAACCTTTCGGCCCTCCCGAGACACCTGCTTCCAAAAACAAAAGCCACCCAAAACGTGCGGATCTGAGCTTTATAAGCGTGTGCTGGGGGCTGAAAACAAGGTGAGCTGCAGGGCCAGAGCCCCCTGCCTCCCGGGCTGCCTCGCCACGGCCCTCTGCTCTCCCACGAATCGGCGGAAGAAAAAAAAAAAAAAAAATACTAAAAGAAAGGGGGGGGGGGGTTGGAAAAAAACCCCCTTTCAGGGCGGGAATTCCTATCGCTGGAACCGTATGGGAAAGAAGTAACACCGATCCCTCGATGGCTTGGAGTGGCTCGCAGGCGTGGGGCTGGCTCTCTAGGAGCTTTCCTTTGCTTGCTTTTCGTTTTGATCTTTAAATTATTTTTAATTATTATCATTCTCCAACGGGGCGCCTGAAGGAATAACAGGGCGTCTGAAATGCAGCCAGAGAGAAGTGCCTGGAAAGTCTGCGGCCCACGGAAGGGGAGCTAGGCTTTCGCCATGGGGACCGGAGAGGGAAATAAATAGGCGAATGAATAAATAACAACCCTGTTATCTAGTGTAGACGCTGAAGGATATTCGCGGTGCATTCATCAGTCTAATTTGATAGCAGTTCATAGATGGCACATTTCAGCGCGGCTGTTATTCCGAAAAGCATTCTGGATCGTAAAATATAACTTACCGCGTTAATAGGTTTATTTATTGGCACTGCCTATTGCTTATTTTGGATGCCATACAAACATCTCTGTTATCTGGTAGGCACCTTCCCATCGCAGGGGAAAGATTGAGCTCGTTTTTCTATACGTTTAAGCCGCACGCAGGCGAAAGTTGCCCAGAGCGGAGGCTCTCGGGGTTTTAAGCTATAGGACGGACGTTAATTTTTACGGCAACCCCGTGCCCGAATATTACAAAGTTCAGAAGGTCACCGCGAGCAGCGCTTCTTGGCAGCCCTGCGGGGCAGCCGGGATCCTCCTTTCGCGTCGTGACGCTCCTCGCCCGCGTTTCCTTTTTTTATTACCGTTATCACCGTTTCCTAAGCCTCACCCCGCCGTGCTTCGCTTACCTACGGGCTCCTTCTCGGGAGAGGCCTTGCTGCCCTCCGACGGCGCGGGGGAGAGCTCCTCGGCGGTGGACGACGAAGCGCGGGTCTCGTCCTCCCGCTGGGAGCCGCACGCCGAGGGGCTGGGGGAGCGTTCCTCGTCCTCCCTCCTGCCCGGCTCCGGCACGGGCGGCCCCGACGGCGGCGGCTGGAAGCGGCCGGGGGGCTGCGGAGCGAAGGGGGCCGCCCCGGCCGGCCCCGCGCCGTAGCCCTTGGAGGTGCCGTAAGCCTGGGAGAGGCGGAAGTAGCCCGGGACCGGCACCCCGGTGCCGTTGGCGGAGGGGCTGACCTCGGCGCTCAGCCGCGGGAAGGGAGCGAGGTCGGCGGCGGCCGAGCCCTTGGGGCATTTCTCTGAGTCATAGAGGCAGTAGGAGCTCTCCTCCTTAATGTTTTGAGCGAAGGAGCACGAGGTGGCCTGCTGGCTCTCCGGCTCTTCCATGCGACAGGAGCGGGGCGGGTCTAGCCACACTTCCATCCCCGACACGTAGGGGTGCGTGCTGGGGACCATGCTTTGCGAAGTACCTTCATTGCGTTTGCCCAGGACGGGGAACAGTCCGCAGCCCTGCAGCCCGTAGGACAGCTCGGACGCCTGTGGCAGGTAGAGCCCGCTGCCCGGGTAGTAGCCGCCTCCTCCTCCGCCTCCGCCTCCTGCTCCCGCCGCGTCCCCTCTGCCCGCGCTGATCAACGAGTCCACCAGGAAAGAGTTTGCAGCCGGGCTCTCGGAGCATGACATTGTCGTGGAATAATTTGGCGAAGGGAGCGGATAGCCCTTCCTGGCTGACATTTCTTGTGCAAAACATGCTGAATATGATTAGAGATACCCCCGCACCGCGGCGAACGCTTGCAGCCAATGGAAGCCCGGGCCTCCCCAGCAACCCCTCCCCGTCTGGTTTCGTATGCACCGAGCTGCTCTCAGGTCGACCTCTGAATTTGGGATATGGATGGATATTAATGTGCGATATGGATTTCCAGCCACACGCACACGTGCGGAGCGGCGCGGCGGGGCAGGGCCGGAGCGGGGCAGGCGGCGGCTCCCGGCTCTCCCGGCTCTGCCCCACGCACCGCTCTGCGCGGCGGTGTTTATGACACCCCGGCTGTGGCCGCGGCCAGATGAAGCTTTTATTATCGCTCCTCTCTCCCCGCGGTCGGGCTCTCCGGAAGCGATGCGTGCTCACCTCCCCGAGCAGCCCGTGTGTGTGTCACGAAATTAATAAAGCCGCGGCTCTCCCTGTGTTTTATACTCGGGCTCTGCTCGTTTTATTTGATTGTCTCGGTTTTTTTTTAGTTTTTGTTTTTTTTAAAGAAATAATAGACGTGTTATTGTTTATCACAGATAGTCGGGAACCGTAAAGGGCCCTTGTGTCTCCTGGGTTTGAGACCCGAGGAGGGGGGGAGCCCTTTCAGCCCCGTATCTCCCCCAGCTAGCATTTCCTAGAGATAAAGAGCTGGCTGCTGCGCTTAGGAATCTCGGAGGGAGCAATGCCACTCCGGGAGGATTAATTGTGCGGTTGCAGCTTCTAATGCTGTAGTTAACGCTGGATTCTTCCCGAGGTCTGATTGCCATTTAAAATCCAAAGCCAGACATATGCCACAGAAAGAATCCAGACGTGAGCAGCTCAGATGGATGCTCGCACGATGCTGCGCACCCTGTTTATTGGCGTGTTTATATTTGGGCGATCATTTTTATTTCCCCCCCGCTCCAGCCCCTCCCCCCCCTCTCCCCCCTTTTGGGTCATTCACTCTTCTCTCCAGAAGCACCGTCTCTGTCGCAAGCGCTGCATTAAATAATAGAGAGAAGGATACGCAGATGAATCCTGAGATAGGAGACAGCTCTGTCCTGCCAATTTGTAATTGTGGCGGAGGGAGCAGACAGATAGCAGACAGACAGGCACGCAGACAGAGAGACACATGGATTTTTTAATGAATCGCTTAATGATCGCTTGCTTTCACTTCCATCATCTTTCGCTTAGGCCATTTTGAAGTCGCCTGCCTGCCTGGCCGGAGAAATTAAGGCTTCTCCAGCCCGAGCGGAGCCTGGGGCTACTCGAGGTTTTCCAGCTCTCGCTGCCCACCCGAGAGCAGCAGAGCTCGCTCCTCGCCCCCGCGGGCATCTCCTCCCGGGGAAGCAGAGCCGGTGGCCCCGCTCCCGAGGGGCTGGGCGAGATGCGGCCGCTCTGCCCGCTGCCCCCGCCGGAGCTGCGCGGAGTGCCGCGTCCCGGCCCTACCCTTGGCGTTCAGAGAGCCTCGGAGGGCCCACGGGAAGCGCTGCCCCCCCCCCCCCCCCCCCCCCCCCCCCCCCCCCGCCACCCCCGGCTCTGACATGCCTCACGTGGTCTCCGGGATGAGCGGTCGCCTATGAGAGGGAAATTATTATTTTATTTTATTTTATTTTTTTCTCCCCAGTTTTGCCATTGCTTCGGACGGATAGTTCTGGGGAAACGGGACACAAGCGAGCAAGCCGCTCTGCTGGGGCCCTCCCGAGGCTCCGTCTTCGTCAGCTGGAAGGCTGCGGCAGGGAGAGGTCGTTACAACTTCACAGTCGCCATAAAACCTTGATGGAAAGGCGCCCTATATTCCCAGCGTTCTCGGGCTTACCCTTGAGTGCCGAGCGGGACCGCCTGTCTGATGGGGGATAGGAAGGGGCCCGACAGCCTGCGGAAACCCTCCGAGGTTGTCCCCACGTTTCCTCCCGTAATACCGTTTGTGTTTCCCAAATGCGAGATGTGTTAACGCGTGATGGACAAAACCTTATCAGATTCCTATGAGGGCCGTATCACCGCTAACAAAATTAATACCGTGCAAGGCATTTTATTGGTTCCTATACAGGAAGGCTATTATCAATAGGCTTAGCGTTATAAATGCAGATCTAAATAAAGTGAAACGTGAGCCCCAGCTCCACGCTCCCAATACATTTCTCTGCACAAGTCAGGTATAAAAATTACTCCGGGGAAGTCCGCTCTTGCGGTATGTTTGTTTTGCATTTGCCAAATTAAATAGGAATGGATTGCAAACCTAAAAACCGTACGGAATCGAGGAGTAACGCTTGAAATCCTTCCAAAGCTGTTTTTAAAATAAGCAGCTCCCTTTAAAGATTGGATTAAAGCGGGGAAAGGCCCTTAAAAGAACTCTGAGATCCTCCTGAATAAAAAGGGCTCAAAACGCATCGCAACAAACGCGAGTTGTACGCTTCCACCTCCTCGAGTGCTAACGCGGACTACATCAGACAAAAGGCGCGGAGGACAGAGACGATTCGGAAGAAGAAAACCAGATTTTAGCCTCACTTCCCTTCCTCCCCTCACCCAGGCCCCCGTGGGTTCGACGGCGCAGGGGCCGTGGCTCGGCCCTCGGTGGCTGTGCCCGAAGGCAGCGCTCCGATCGTGCGGGATCCGTCGTCGGGAGCGCCGGTCGGGGCCGCTCGTTTGGTCCCCAGCGCTGCGCCGGGTGGCTGCCGGGGCACTCCGCCTCGATCGTGAACTCCGCTCGGAGCTGCATTATCTCCGCTTTCTTTAATCGCTAACAAGGCCAAGGCAAATAGTAACCGGCATCATCAAACCCACTGAAGTAAAACTAATAACGCGCGCTTGGTTCTTAACTATAAAAGATAATGGTCAATTCCGACTAAACTGAGCTAATTTGGCATGCGTTGGGTGTAGCTACCGCATTGCCGGCGCTTAACAACGTGTCCCTCGGAGCTTAACCCCCGTTTAAAAGAAATTTTAAAGAATATTGTGGACGCCAGGGGACGAGAAACGCTTTCTTTCTAACTCCGCTTCCGTAAGGAAAGCCGTCCCAGGGTCCATAAAACCGAGCAAATAAAATTCTGATAAATATCAAAGCCGGCGAGCGGGTGATTTCGTGGAGAATCTGAATTCGCGGCGTGCGTAGACAACGCTATCAAAATAAAACTTTATTGATCTAAGAAAAATATAATAGATGCATTAATAGCGTCGTTAAGCCGTTTTATTGGTTGGCCTAAAATTAAAAACAAAAAGGGAATAAATAAAACCCGACAGCTCAGCCCCAGCGAACTCCTGACTGGAAATTTCAAAACGCGTCACGTTAAACCGTGATTTATCTTTTTTATTATTAGCCCGTATAAAGCAAAAGATCAGCGCCGTTAATCCGGAGACCCATTTTGCGAGCTAATTAAAATATGTTTTTATTTGTAGACACGGGGAAAAGTGCGACGTGCGGAAAGGCGGAGGGCCTCGCAGCGCGCAGCGGAGTGCATGCGCCGCCTGGCTGAGGACAGAGCGCGCAGTGCGTCGTGTGCCTTTGCCCAAATTAATGCAATCAGGGTATCGTTCTTTAATATTGGAACTGTCAGTCGTCAGCAACGTGCGTGTGTGTGCGCGCCAGATTCCTCCTTTATTTATTTATTTACCCTCCCTTCTCCCCCCTCTTTTTGCTGGAATTGCTCCAAAGAAGGCGGATTTCAAACAGGAGGTTTAGGAACTGCGGCCGTGCCAAGTTAGGTGACAAATGACGGCCCCACTAATTTTATCTTGCCTAGAAATACTTTCACGCTGAGGGTTGGGGTGGGCGAGGGGGAGGGGGGAGCTTGGCTTGTTGTGGCGGATTATGCTGTTAAAAATTAAGGTGAGATTCAATTTTATTCCGCCATCCGGGGGCTCGTTCTCCTAAATATATTTCGGAGGTTGCGCGGATCGGTTTACTCGTTTGGATTAGGAACATATTTTGCGAATGAGTCTGACGAGCTCCGAATTCTGGCGTGCGGCGGAACAAAAAGCGCCCCGACCGATTCATTCCGGCTCCATCCCATCGCCATTCCCCGGCCCCGCTCCGAACAAGGGGGTCCTATTGTCTGCTGAGCCCCAACACCGCGAGGAAGTACCAGCGGTATCGGGTTATGCGGCCGTCGGTAGAACCGTAAACATACAAATCCGCCTTTTTAAGTGCACCCTTTTTATTGAGAGAGATGGGCCGCGCAGCTGTAACGGAGCGTTTGAAACTGTATCCCCTCTCCCCTTTTTGTAGCTGCCCATAAGATCTGGGTGCGCATACAAATATTTTTCTGCTTGTGGTGCAGCGCTCACACACACACACGTTGACCCGACGCTTTGATTCGGGGCGTTTAATGAAAAGATTATGACACACATACACACACACACACAAATAGAAGACGGCGACAAAACACAAACCCAAAGAGCTCATGAAAAAGCCTCCCAGGGGTTTGGATGTGGTATGTGCACTGAAGTCGAGTACACGATTAATTAAACACAGTGTAGACACTGAGTTGGCTTCGCCTCTTCCCTCCGAAACACGCAAACCCAAATCATGTGAAATAATAAACAGTTATTGTAAGAAACGAGCTTGTTTTTTTTAAATATTATCCTATGACCGCGGCCGTCAGTAAACAATTCGTAACCAGAGGGCGCTTTAACTGCTGCTGGGGTCCCTTTGATTTATTCAGCGGAGTATTGAATGGAGCAGGGAAACAACAAGGGGAAAAATAAATATTTGATCAAATATGCTGAGTTTAACTCGGCTGGTGTAAAATGAAACGTTGCAAAGGGACCCTCAGCGACTGCCCCGCTCCTCCTCGGGACGTGACTTCTTAGGGCCCGACGTTTCCGAGGGGAGGTCAGGAGAGATCGGGTCCCGAGCTTTTAATGGAGCATCTTTGGTGAAATCGATAGGTTCCGATAATCATCTGAGAAATGCTCTCTGCCGGCTCAACATGTGCTTTTAACTAGGCTTGCAACAGCTCCCCAGGAGCACGGTTTTAAAGGCCGCTGTCTTTCAAATAGAGGCAACTCGCATTAGTTTATATACAAAGACTCTTAGGGGAGCAAAGACAACACAATTATTTTTTTTTTTTTCCTGAGATAGCTATTTAAATAGAGTATACCCTCTGTTAATATACAAGCGGGTTGAAGTATGTAGCCAAACCAGTATCTCCATACAATACCGCATTTCCTCTCCCCCTGCCTCCCCGCCCCTTCTCAAATGGAGACATAACAAAAACATGTGAAACTTTTATGGGCGAGAAAAGTAACCTGGAGTTAGGGATACTCATAGCCGGGATAGAGTTTCAAAGCTACAACCCCGAGCAGCCCTGAGCACATGAGAATGTGAGACTGCTGGTTGTTTACGGCCCATGTTCTAGCTCGGATAGATAGATCGACGGATAGATAGGTAAATGAATGGATGGATGGATGGATGGATGGATGGATGGATGGATGGATGGATGGATGGCCAATCTGGTCCTTCATGCATGCTGACTTAACGTGCAACAGCACGCTTAATTTTGAGCGTAAGTGTGTCAAAACTTGTTTACCACAGGCTGCATCCAGCTGCGAGGAAGCAGGCTCTCCTTTTAAGTTACCAAGCGACCCTAACTAAACTACAGTTCAAGTCCAATAAGATCGTCAGAATTGTCTGTCATTTGTAGTCTGGGTTGCCATAGATCTAGTTGATTGAAGACACCTACTGTTCCCCACATAAATGTCAAGTTTCATAATATTTCCAGCGCTACAGTTTTTATAACTGGAAGAAATCTACGAGTTTCTCTGCAAAAAGAAATATTTCCAGATACCGTGGATTTTCCACGCCGCCGGCCAAAACTTTACCAAGAGACAGAAAAAGGTCAGCAGCGCCTCAGAAGGCTCCTGCGACGTTCATTCACCGCTTTAATCACCAACTTTCGAGCTCCGCTTCCACTGCCGGTGCCGAGGCCGGCCCTCCCCGCGCCCCGCGGTGGCACCGCACCCGCCGTCCCCTCTCTCCGCGGGGCGCGCACGGAGCACTTACCTCCGCGCATTGCCTACGCCGGAGCCCCGCGGCCCGACCTCCGCCGGGTCCCTCGCGCTAATTGAGCGTGCGGCCGCGAAGTGAACAAAGGCCAAGATTCCGCCGGGCTGCTCAACTCGGCCGGCGGCTTTGACATTGATCTGACGATCGCCATCTGGCGGCCGCGCCGCCCCGCGCAGCTCCGGGCCCCGCCGCGGGCCGCCGGCCGCTCACCTCCCGCTCCGCCCGGCGCGGCAGCCGCCGCCTTTATAGCGGTGCATTCCGCCTCTGCGAGCGGACAAGTCACGGACACTTTTTATGGCCGCATTGTCACAGCAACACAGAGGATGCGAGTTTATTGGGCTAGGAAATCAAACCCCGAGCGGAGAAACTCCGTGGTTTAACTGTCTCTGGGATTGGCCGTGAATGCCAGTTAATTTTTTACAGGGAAAGGAAGCTTTCTCGCTAAACTTTCATTGCCCGTCCGCTCCCCATCCGTCCCTCTCTCCCTGCCTGCCGCCGGTCCATCCGTCCGTCGCCTCTCGGCTCGCGTTCCCCGCAGACAGACAGACCAACAAACAGACAAACAAACGCCAGAGCCTCCCTTCCCTTCGTTTTTCAGCGCTCCCTCCGCCGAGGCTCTGTCTGGCCGGCGGCGGTTGTCAGCGAGGCCCGCGTCAGTGGGAGTGCTTCACCTCAAGGTTATGGGTGATGTCCAAGCAATACAGAAGTTCAAAGCCAGCAAACAATGCGAAAACAGAATGTACTTTCTTCTCCCGATCAGGACCGGGGTCAACACTCAACATTCAGCTGCTCTTCCAAAAACACGTTCCCATCCCAGCCATTGTTTTGGTTTGGTCCTCCCCCCCCACCTATTTTCTCCCTGCAGCCCTCCCCCCGCCCCATCCCACCCCTCCCTGCCCTGGAGATCAAGGACAACCCCAGCCGGCCCATTTCCACCGCGCTGCCAGGCGCGTTTTTTCTCGAAGGAGGCAACGGTTTTCTTAGGGCCTTCATCCTCCTGAGCACGTCCAGGGCTCGTCCGTCCCTTTTCTTTGGGGACGGGTCTCTAAAATGAGCCCCAAGCACTCCCAGCACCGCTTACGTTGCCACACGTGGCAGAGCACACTGCGGTGTCACACGCTGGTGTGACAAGGATCCTCACCCTACAGGACAAGGACACGGTCTAACGAGAAGCCTTCTCCACCTTCCTTCCCTAACCAGCCCACGTCTGCTTGGCCACACCAAGGCAGAAGACTTGACAGCCGAGCTCTACGAAAGAACAGTCGTTTCTCCCCAAATGACCCCACAAGGTCATGGGGAAATTCGGGTGCCATAGCCACATGAGGCAAAGCGACATGCAGGAACGCGACGCCAGAATGAAAAAGAGAAAGTTTCCATTGTTTTTATTTGCCTTGTGCGCTGTTCCACTGTATACATGCAACCAAGTACTTTCAGATATTAAAAGAAAACGGTATATACACATAGTCGATACATATGGAAAACAGTGATGGCATATAAAGATACTGCGTTTGGTGAACCGTGACAAAGAACTTACATCCATTTGATAAATTTACTCATCAAAAAACTTCCTTATCACCACTTTGTTGCACATGTAAAGAAACCCCACACCCTTTAGCCCCGAAGGAGAAAAAAAAAATCAGGAAAAAAAAAAAAAAAAAGGCATTCGAACAAAATAGGTCCTGGGTTCCTCTTTTTTATTATTTACAAGTCTTGTAAAACATCGCTCCTGTATGAAATATACATTCAGATATTCTCAACAGCAAATTACCTTAACGATAGAACTCCGTAGCCTTTGTAAACTGATATAGAATTTTAAATATTTTCCTTTTTTTTCCTCTTTTTCTTTTTTAAATTGCATTTTTTTTTTTTTTTCACGCTTTGGTTCCTGCAGGGAAATATATATATTTATAGATACTTAAAATAACTCCGAACAACTCTCCGTTCTTTGCATACGTCGGCTGGGCGACAAAGTAGAGCTCATGACATTTAAAGTAGACGACAACAAAATGACCGTATTTACACTGTTTGGCTTCTGATTAAACTCCTCACTGGTCACCTTTACAAGAGCATGCGTTGAGTTATTTTAATGATCCAACGTTAGCGCATTGCACAACTCCAAGTTTCAATTAAGTGTTGTGTGGTATTTGCTAAACTGTCGTTCTCCACAGGTATTTCCTGAAGAAAGTTTGCGAGCCAGAAGCCAGAAGGTCAGTTTCCTCTCCGTATTTTTTTTCTTTTAAAACGCTGAAATTCACACTTTTTTTTTTTTTTTTAACTGTTTATTTTTAGCATTTTAATATGATTTGTCTCCAAAAAGATGGCAACGCACAGGCCGTTGTCATAAATAGAATGAGAGCTAGTTACAATTTGAGAGATCTTTGTTTTGTTTTGTTTTTCCTTTTTCTTTTCAGTGATTGTTTCTTTGCGATGTATGGCAAATTTATACCTGATTTTTCTTTTTAAAGTCAATATTTCAGTCTTTCATTTCTTTCTCTTCCCACCCCCATCCCCGCTTCCTCCCACCCCAAAGGAAACACTATCATACCCATCGCTACATCCATGTTACTACTGCTCTTGGCCGGCCTCGTGAAGGTGTAGGCATGTCACCCCCCTCTCCCCTCCCTTTTACTTCTCTCCCCCCTCCCTTAATTCCCCTTTCAAACCCATGGGCAATGGCGCACTGCCTCAACCACAGACATTTTCCTTCCGGGAAAGACGAGAGATCATTTCCCAAAATTTGCGTCCTGGCTGCGGCCGCTCGCGGTGCCGGTACCCACGCCACGCTCCGAGGGGGCAGCGGGACACGGGGACAACCCCGTCCCCTCCCGGTGCTGCCCAACGCGGTGCCCCAGAAGGTGAGAAGCGTGGGCCGGGCGCTCGGAGGTGACGCGCGCGGTGGAAATGGATGGACGCCACGTGTGGCAAAATCAAACCGATTCCAGTTGGAACGTAAATATATAGACAAAACAATAAACCGTCATGGAAGGTCCAGAGCAGATTTACATGTATGGAAAACCTCGGGTTCTTCGAGTCCCGTCAGATACACACCTCCTTTCTCCACGTAACCTCGTGGCTTGACCTTGTCAAGGGCGAAATCTGAATTTAATCTCGTCTTGAAAAACGCTACGAGTTTTAGAGTAGTGGATTAGCTGAGTAATATTGTAATCGGTCCCTGTTAATTTTTTTTTCTTTCATTCTTCTGTTTTGAAACCATATTTTTACTTGGCGGTCGGTCAGATTGAGCATTCGGGAGAGCTGGAGGCGTTTCTCTTTGTTTATGTAGACACTGAAGAAGAATTCCCTTTCTAGCTCTCTAATCTGATATTTGGTGTAGGGGCATCTCTTTTTACGGGTCCGTTGTCCACCTGTGGAGCGAGAAAAGGCAGAAGGTTTTGTCACGACGGGGCCGGGGAGGGGGGGGAAACAGCGGGGCAAAGCACCTCGACACGCTACAACGCTCGTTCCGCCCGCTCCGCGGCCGCCCTCGGCAGCCGCAGGACTGAGCGCACGGAGGGCTGCGGGGAACCGGGACCCACCGGGACGCCTCCGGCCCCGGGCAGGGCGGAACCCCACCGGGAAGCGGGGCTGAGGCCTCCTTCCGCGGGAGGAAGGGGCGAGCGGCCGGGAGGAAGCACCCGGAGGCGGCTCGGCCGGAGCCGGGCGAGCTGAGAGCGGGCAGCGGCCGCCCCCCGCAGCCCTCGCAGCAGCCGGGCGCCCCGCGGAGCTCCGTTTCCCGCTCCGGAGGCCGAGGGCGACCGCGCGGCCCCGGCACGGCGCAGCCCCGCGCCCGCTGCAGCCGCACGCTCCGCCGGCAGCTTTCCAGCACGCTCGGCCACCATCTCGGGGTGTTCTCCTCGCGCTTAGCAGCCGCGGTTTTAAAGTTCATTAAGCGCAATAGAAAAGGGCTCGAGGCTCAGAAACCCTTTGCATTCAATCTAGCCGCTACCCCTTTAAAAACTTCCTTTTCTGGTACAGTTCATTGTCGAGGTATTTTTCCCCGAGCTGTATACTGGCGTTGCCTTTTAAAAAGCCCACATAAAAAAATCAGCCTTTGACAGATTGAATAACAATTGTAAGTAACAAACTGTTGGACAGAAGGCAACGCGTAATTGCCACAGCGCCCGGGTAAAATGGCTTCCTTTAGACAAAAAGGCCAGCTTTAGGTTAATTTGTTTCTTTTAATATATTGCTACAGTTCAGGCGGCTACTTTATCTGCTCAACGCGGCTCGAGCGCAATCGTTAAAGCGGCGATGGCTTTGAATGCGGCTCCTAACTAGGCTCCCGGTGCAACACATGGCTTTTATAAAATCACGGGATTACATCGGTATCAAAGGAGCCGGGATCGCCCTTCTCTGCCGAATTTACAGGCGCCCGACGCACGTTATTATATTTTCGAGAGCCGACCGCAGAGCCCCCTTTTATTACGATTCCCGAAAAAAAAGAAGGGGGAAAAAAAAAAAAAGGGAAAGAGGAAGGAGAAAGAAAATTTTTTAAAGGCATCCGTCGCCCGGTGGGTATTTCACGGCCAATTTCAGCACTAAACACGTGATCTCGCCTTTTATAACAAAGTTTTGTTGGGGGAAATCTAAAGGCCCTTCATAAACCTTATATGCTTATAAAACAGCATATAAAAATTTAACAGCGGCGGTGCGCTACATTTCCAAGTCCCTCTCCGAAAGCGCTCGGGCGCTGCCTTTATACGTACTGGAGCTGCCGGATTTCTCCTCATTGTTGCCGGAAGATGACTCGGGGCTGCTGCCGCTCTCCGGCCGCCTCCGCCTCTCCTTCCCCGCCGCCGCCGCCCCGCCGCAGCCGCCCTCCGAACTTGAAGTTGCCGCCGTCGCCCCGGCGGCCGCGGGCGCCTTCTCGCCGCTCTTGTCCGGCGGATAGTCCGCGGAGGACGGGTTCTCCGCCGTGCCGTACGCCGTCTCGAAAAACTGGTCGAAAGCCTGCGGCAGGACCCCGTTCCTGCCCACCGTGCTATAGAAATTGGAGGAGACGTTGGCGCTGGGGTGGTGGTAGACGTTCGCGGTGCTTTTGCCGAACACCTCGCCCATGCTGGCGGTGGTGGTGGAAGGCAAGCAGTCTCTGTGCATGATCTCCTCTGCGGAGTAGCAGTGGGGCAGGTTGTTCCGGGGGTGCCATTTACTGGAGGGATCAATGGCATATTCCCTGAAGGTCACTTCTCTCACGGGTTGGACCTGGGGCAGGTTGGAGGAGTAGGAGTATGTCATAGGGCGAGAAGACGGGGTCTGGGGCAGAAAAGAAGGGAGGCTGGAGAAATCAGGACCCGAGACGTAGTACGTACAACTTGGCAAATACATGTTAGAGGAACAAGGAACACGCTCATCAAAATCCATCATTAGGGCTACCTCGGCTTCTCCGCATTAGCTGAGCTTAACATGATTCTCTAGCGCAGCTGCCCCTTTGAAGCAGATCCGTGAAGTAAGAAATTGGGAGACGTAAGCTGACGTGGAGAGCCTCCGGCCTCGGCGGGGAGGTGCGGCCACGTGACGCGCCGTGCAAATTGACAAGCGGCGGCTGCGGGCCCGCGCCTCTTTGTAGCCATCTCGGGGGAAGCAACAGATCGGCGCGGCGCGGCCCCGCACCGCACGGCCCCGCTCCGCACCGCGCCGCCCCGCACCCGCGCCGCCCGCCCCCGCCGCTCTCCCAGCCCAGCGCAGCACCGCGCAGCAGCGCGCAGGTTGGCCCCGGTACAGTGCAGGACACAAAGGCACCGCTCGGCACTGCCCCACACTTAGCGCCCGGCCCCTCGCACCCCCTGGCTCTGCAGCACTTAGCAATGCCCACAGGGCTAGGTGAGAGCTCTCTGTTTGTTTGTTCGCTTGCTGGGGTGTGTGGCGGCTCGTTGGCAGGCTCCGAAAGGAAGGGAGCAGGAGAAATGAAGCAACGACTCCTTCTAGAAAGCTGCTTCCTAGCAGGAAGCGCTCTTTGGGAAAGCGGTCAGTTTAGGGTTGATGGCTTCCCCCACTTTGATTTTTTCCCTTATTTATTTATTTATTTATTTATTT